GGGTATCGTTGGCGCGATGACGATCTTGTAAATTACAAAGTGACGAGGTATTGTTGCTTGGCTCTGAATTAGAGGTGTCGCGATCACCGACGACGTTGACGCTCGGTGTCAGAGTGGGCGTAGCAGCGTTGGATACGCCCATACGTTGAAAAGCGTGGTTTGATTCCCCGTACTTTGTGCCGCCGGAAGCGCGCTTAGCTACTCGCTTCAGCCAATACGAGGCGACGACGCGTTCCGGGAAACCACCATGCGCTGATACGGTCACTAGCACATCCATGTAATACCAACACTCGACGCTCATTGGTGCTCCGTGGTGCCACATTGTACGTCATGTCCGTGCCACCATCCAAGCCACCGCGGCGCAAGCATGTCTTTCCTTTGAAAGAAGCAGCATGCGAGGGTCGGTGATGGCGCTTAGTAAGTGCGCACGATGAACAATCACACCCGGCACACCGTCACGCAGCAAAGACGCGCTACTTGACCGGACACTCGGTTTAATATATCCTCACGCGACTGGATAAATACAGCAAGTACCCGCATCAGTCTTCCATTCTGTGACCGATGGGCCGAGCGATACACGACGGACCGAGATGCAACATAATCTGTACGGTCAACGAAGGGTATGCAAGTAAGTGCCTTTGGCAGAGAAAAATACGGGTGCAGCAGCACCCTAGGGCGCCGAGGCAGTGGTCGCGCTTGAACCGCAGCTGACGTAGGATCGATGTTTGTCGGATCCAAAAAGATAGCATCGTGTGAAGCAGGTTGTGCGGTAGTACCGTCGCCACGCAGCGTTCGTTCGCAAGCACTGCATCGAACGCAGTCGAGAGAGTGCCGTGCGAATTACTTCTCTTGCATTGTACTGCATAGTATGGGGTGTCCATGCATTAAATCCCTTGGTGTCAACAAACAACCAGTTCCACGCCGCAGCGTTTAAACCAAGCGCTACGTTATAGAAGGCTCGGTGGACCTCGAAACCAGATGTTGCAAAACAGACGTGCCAATGTGGTCATATGTTTTTGGGTGTGTCATCACGGACTGGTCCCACGAGTTCGGACGACGTCGTTGAGTGCGACACATCAGCCTTGGTACGATAACATTGGAGATTCGACGCTCCGTTCCTATACCGATGTAAAGGCTGCAAAGCCAGGATGTCGTACGACCGGCTTTTTCGTCGGTGCCAGAAATGGATGGGCACGTCGTAAGACACGCAGAACGTTGTGCGATAGAATCGAATGCAGGTCGTCGTCCGAGTGCAGAGATAGTCCTAAAATGTGGCTTGTTGATAACAACCGATATGATGGCGCGAGTGACGACATCGATCACCGCAACGCGTAAAAAGCACATTTGCACGCGGTGAAACACCACAGCATCGAAAAGCAAGGTGAGACGCATCTCCGTTCGCGAAAGGCAATCGCATTGGTACCCAACGACGCGTCACGTTACCCGGAAGGAGCCTGGGCTGTAGAAGCGTGATAATTTGATACTCGAGCGTTTTCATTTGTTGTTTGGTGTCCAAGCATACCTGTCACATGCCCCACCCAATTTTGCCGATGACACTGCCGATGACACTGTCCTCATCAAACCAAATGGCGTACTAGTGCAACTCCGCGAAATGAGCTGCTTCGAAACGCACGAGTCCGCTGGGTCGAAAAAGGTGTGCCTTCCAATGCCCGTTGCACCACCATTCTCTAACAAGTAGTCTCCGCCGAGACCTCTGGGTGTATGCTTATCGCGTAGTCGCGTAGAATGTCGGGTGTTTGCCACTTTGCTTTGAAAAAAAGCTAACACCATACAAACGTATTTCATCTCCAACATATTTCTTTGTGATATCGCACAACCAATCGATTCGAACCAGCGATTCAAGCCAAATTATATATTTTGTCAAGATAGGAATGTAACACTGACGCCAACGTTGTTGAAGGATGAGCCAATGGTGCATTTGCACATCGATGAAAACGCAGTGACCACAGATCCAATTCGGTCTTGGTCAATCGTGTCCAAGCTTACATACTAGAATAGCACAGCAGCTCTGACAGATAGAGTAAAGTAAGGCATGCCCTCCAAATGAAACCCTCGCCGACCTCATTTCTGTCCACCACGGAGCGTTGCGCCTGAGCTCAATACGCTCTGCGAACATTAGACAATACACTGTCTAAACCAGTGTAGCAAAAATGGTCGGATATTCAAACGTTATAAGAAACGTGAGTGGACCGGCCCGACTTTCTAGCCGCGCAGGTTGAAATCCATCTTCTGGGGACCCTTGGACGGGTACACGCAGCCCCACGCACCAGTCTTGAGCTTCTGGCAAGTGGCCGTCTCAGGCGCCTGGCACCACTTGCCGTTGGACGAGAAGAGACCAGACTTGCAATCGCCGGAGGCCCAGTCACCCTTCTTGGGGCAAGCACCGCCGCCGCTGTTGCCCGAGCAGACCGGGCCGTTGACGCAGTACGTGGCATCGCCCTCGACCGAGACGTTGGTGCAGCCCTGCT